TATAGAAATCGACTTTTTTATGGAAAATATAAACGTTAAAAGATAATTACCCAATTTATTTTATAAAACAACAGTTTTTAAAGAAAAATACTGCGTTGCCATGTCGTGCAAAAACCTATATCCACTGATATGCTAAATCAGTTGATAAATAAATAAACGTTTTTGCATAAAGCTAGTATATTCTTTTTATATGGTATATTTACCTACCATTAAATTTATAAGACAGTTAACTGTTAAAGTTACAATTGTTGAAATAATTGTAACTAAGACAATTAAGCATTAGGTAAATTTAGTGAAGTAAATATACTGGCCCTTAATTTCTATTTTTCGCCAAATCAATCCGTCAAACAGTCTCGTCCCAGCGCTTGACTGAGTAAGTCGCTTGGCAGCGGAGCCAGAGATTAAACGTAAAACGTTAAAACCATAACCAACAATTAATCTCTCATAGTGCAAACAACTATAGTGTAACAAATACAGTGAGTACAGACTACTCTACGGTGAATAATTAGTTAAGGGCCAAGTGAAAAGGAAGAGTGAAGTGACAAGTGCAAACGAACATAGTGAAACGGTCAAAAGAGTTAAGTTAAGTGACAAGAAAGAGTGACAGTGACAAGTGTCAGTATCTGAGTGGTCGCACCAGGTCAACAGGACGATTTTCACTGGACAAACAAGGGAGGAATAGGCCACCTGCAAATAATTGATAAGTATCCTCATCTTATCTGCATGACCTAACACATAATTTGCAAATTAAACTAAACAAGGCACATTGCCTAATCCCTACAAAAAAACAATAATCATCGGTAACAAAACAATAGAAAGTCAATACTATCAAAAAAAAAAAACAAACAGCCGATCGCGGACATACACCAAAGCTGAACAGGGCAATAAAGCTGTCAACAAAATAATTCAAGTATAACAAACCGAGACCAAATAAATTTGACACTTAAGACATAAATAACACTCATAAACTAAGAAAACATAAACAAAGTAAAAAAAAAGCACACTAATCAAACTCCATGGAATTTGTAAACATTAGACTTTAAACTAAAAGTAAAAACAATACCCCCCCCAATCGCAGCGATTGCTCACCAGCTGTTCAACACGGAGATAGGTTCGCTACGCGAAACTGAAACAACAGCAGACACTAGACAAATATTAAACAACCACTTACGTAATAATCTCGGAACGTACAGACCCTACATCGAGGACGCAATAAATGAATTAAGCAGTCGCTATAAACACATAAGCGACAAAACAGGACAAATCAATGAGTACCTAAACGACCACGGTAAATATGGCTTCTGGGCCGGTCTGGAAACAATACTAGCCGCCTCAGATGTATTCAGCGACGCAATCGAAATTTACCATGAACACGGCGGGAAAGACAAGATATCCGCGTGACTGAACGACAATTCCCCTACAATAGCAAAGCTACAGACTAAGCAACCCAACTAAGCAACAATAAAAACAAACAAAAAAAAACAACCGACACGCTTTACCAAGTGCAGGAACTATCTGACACGGACAATGACAATAATGAACAAGACGAAGACCTCGACTAGGAAACTACACCCCAGCGTAATAACAACTCACCAACTCCAAATAGTAATCCCAAATGTTTGGAGTAATACTAATCGACTGGTCTAGGGGGATTCCGCGTCGTACTTAGTTTTAAGTCGGCGTAATTGTCCCCCAAAAACCACCTCCCGTCCCTCCTCTATACCCCACCGAGCGTATAGCATAGGCTCGGCGAACCCGAGAATGGCTATTAAAACTACTCGCCTCTCGCTCAACAATACAATAGGTGCGTTCGCCTGAGATCTCAGCTCACTTCAGTTAATGTGGTATGAGATGTAGTAATGTGAGTAAGCATTTTAAGATTTTTTTAATTCTTATTTTATTTCATAAAATTATTATTTTTTACAAAAAAATGATTTTTTGGAATAAATAATTAAATTTTGCATAAAAATAATTAAATTTTGTAAATTGAATATTAACCTAATATAATAAATAAAATTCAATTAAAATTGTTTTTCGGAACTAGAAAAACACTTTATACAATAAAATTAAACAAAACATGTCAAAGTTTTTTTTTTAATTTTTATTTTACGTCATAAAATTAATATTCTTATCAAAAAATTGTTGTGTTTTTGTTTTTCACCCAATTATGGAAAGAATAAGTATTATAGATCTGGAAACGTCTTCATCGTCTTCATTAAATAAAACTTTTATTATTATTAATTAAGTGTTTCGTTCTTTTTAAAAAAAGAACGAAACACTTAATTAATAATAATAAAAGTTTTATTTAATGAAGACGATGAAGACGTTTCCCGATCTATAATACTTATTCTTTCCATAATTGGGTGAAAAACAAAAACACAACAATTTTTTGATAAGAATATTAATTTTATGACGTAAAATAAAAATTAAAAAAAAAAACTTTGACATGTTTTGTTTAATTTTATTGTATAAAGTGTTTTTCTAGTTCCGAAAAACAATTTTAATTGAATTTTATTTATTATATTAGGTTAATATTCAATTTACAAAATTTAATTATTTTTATGCAAAATTTAATTATTTATTCCAAAAAATCATTTTTTTGTAAAAAATAATAATTTTATGAAATAAAATAAGAATTAAAAAAATCTTCACTTTTACTTTCTTTATTCAATTATATTGTAAAAAGTGTTTTTCTCCTTCTGAAAAGTAATTTTATCCGAATTCTATTTATTATATCAAGTTTATAGGTAATTTACAAAATTTAATTAGTTTTATAGAAATTTAAGTTTAATTGCAAAAAATCACCTAAATAAGATTAGGTTATGTTATTTAAAAACTTAACAAATCAATAATTTCTGTATCTCCTCCACTTTATTTCCGACTTAATTCAAACTGATTCCCCCGAACATCATGTGCAGTATCGGTAATTTTTAAAATTTTTGCCATTAGAGCTGTGTTGCTGATGTTATCACCAGACTCTCTTATTTGCTTTGCAAGATTTTCAACCTTCGATATATGTTTTGCTACGGAGTCGCTTGGGTCCATTCTGTATTGATGAAACTTCTCGTGCACAATCATTTTGTTTGTTTCAGTTTTTAGCTGGTAAATGGAGTCTAATTTGTTTTATAGTTCTTTAGATGTTTCACAATTTTCTATTAGTATTATTTGTTCCAGCTCCATTGCGGAAGTTAATGTAAACATCGCATTTGCATCTTTTTTAGTCCAAGCATTGATTTCCTCTGCGGATGTCTGAGGTTTGGGTGTGGTTCCTTCCACAACTCCGAAAATGCCTTTGGCCTTCAATGTACACTTCATTTGAAATTTCCATTGGACATAGTTCGTTCCGTTGAACTTGTTCACGTGCGTTATGTCTATTTTATTCATTTCGTTATCAATCTTGTGCACTGTAAAAATCACAAGAATTTTCTCGAGCCCTTAAAGAAGATGGCGGCTGTGGCGTCTTTTTAATGTTTTCGAGTATTTTTCACTTAGGCGTTGCCTGGGCCAATAACCTATTAAGGTCGTGGAATACTAATAAACTGTTTTTATTGATATTCAATATATTGTGTAATATTGTTTTAAATGAATAAAAAGAATAAATGTATTAACTGGTATAAACTATTACAAACGTCAAATCTAACTATCTAGTAACATCAGTGCTACCTACATTACTTAAATAAAATGTTTTCGAGTATTTTTTTTCATATGGAGCGATTATCGCGAGGTTGCGAATAATGTGTTGCGGCAACACTTCCTGCATTGCTTCTTATTGGTCAAATTATCGGATCAAGTTTGAAATTAGGAACATTTGTTAGGCCTTTTTGTCGTTGTAAATTGTCTTATATCAAGTAATTCCATTACTTTTCATTTTCTAATATTTGTTTTTTAATTGTGGATGGTTTAGTTCGGTATTCAAAGCCGTTTTCATAGTTTTGTGGTTTTCGGCACATATGCGCATGTATGTATGAGTAGCTAAGGCGGATGTGTCAGTCTGGTGTAAATTGTCCTATGAGTGACATGCTCGTATTTTTACTTTGTGAAGTACTTTGTTAAAGGGATTTGGAGACGTCTACTCACATGAGAAACCCCGCAATGATGGTATATTGTTATCCATAGTGTTTTGAGTGCGGATTCTTACGGCATTTTGCCGGATTTATTTGGATATAATTTTCACCAGTCGAACCACTTTCCAACCATCTTGGATTCCATCCATCCATCAGTTTCTTGCGACTTACCATCCAAGAACATAAAACCCTTTACAAAGGTATGTTTATATATTTTTTTTGAAGGGGAAAATTTTCATAAATTTTTCTTTTAAGGTTTTTTTATTAATTATGGTTTTAATTATGGTTTTAACTCCGGGTGTAGAACCCAAGTTTAATCTTATGTACAGAGAACAGTTTTTCTTGTTGTAAACAAATTCAAGTCACACCTTCTGTGTCACCTGGGATATTGGTTACCATACACGGATGGATCATATTGACATTGACTGACGTACAACCATAAAGAAAAAAAAACACAAAAGAGTGCCCGATTGCCTGTTAGAAGTGGGGAACATCATGACGGTGGCGATGTTAGTGGCTACCGGAAAAACTAGCTTGAAGCGTGGCCTATTCAAATTTAAATATCTATAATGATTTCTATTAAAAATAATAATAATAAAATTTAGATGGAAATAAAGCAACTTCCAACATTAAAACATATTTTTAATTAACATTAACACATAGTTAAACAAATATAAAACATACTAATGTATAAAACAACCAAAATATTTATATTACATATTATTACAGCCAGTCAGGAACTATTTTCTTGATATAAGCATTAATTATATGTTGCACAGCGTTGATTGAAACAACATTTAATTGATTGATTAATTAGTTGCTTGAACGGTTGATCAACGTTTTCGGTATAACTGTTTTCATGATTTATCTTCAGATTGGGTAAAAAATCCCAATTCCATGATGAACAGACTTGAATTTTTTTCACAACAAATACAGCTAGTGCGGTTTCTAAAACAATTTTATTTGTAAAGTAATTATTTTTACCTCTCCAAAGTGTCCCATGCAGTTTCCAATTGCAAAGTGTCATTACATGATTAAACACCCCAAGTAAACTAATTAATAAGTCTGAACGGGGAAAAGTATTTCAATTGGCATTAAAGGCAAGCAAATACCAAGCACGGCAGCCAAAGACAATAAAACAGTTATTTTCTATAGCGTCAATATAAAAAACAGACAAGTAAAAAGTAAGGATATGTCACACTGTTACCATAGACAACAAAACAATCATTATAGATATTTAAATTTGAATGTGCCGCGCTTCAAACTAGTTTTTCCGGTAGCCACTGGAGTCGCCACTGTAATGATGTTCCAGCGTTGCCAACCTTTTCGTTCTCTAGTCAAATATCCGTAGAAATCCGTGGGTGAAGGGTAAAATCCGGACATTTATCCGTCCAAGGATCAGAGGTGGCAGGCACTTAGAAACTTGGATAGATTAACGAATTTTCACTAAAAATTTTGATTGGTACTCAATATTTATCAGTTGTTCAGTTATTTAGCATTGACATTTGGCGCAAGGTGGCGCTTTCTTAGTAGTGCTTGGCGCTTTTAAGATTTACACATTTCTTAAATACATATATTTATAAACAATGTAATTAGATACTAATAGGGTGATACATGCATAAAAAACTTTTAAATGTAAATAGATACCAAAACAAATTTAAAACTTTAGTTGCCATTTTTTTCACAGCATCTTTTTGACAGACAGCACCTTTTCTGGTAACCTGCTAGCAGCTGGTAACAAACACAAAATTCCTAAACTAATGAGTGCGTTCCATGAAACGTTCCATTAGTACGTTCAGTGCAAGGTTTTATACCTGCCGTTTACTGGACGGAGCGAAATAGTTAGAAAATATAAAAAGGGTTTCAAGCAATTTTTTACTTGTCGCAGGTTTTAATAGATAAAATATCAAGTAATTATGAATTATGCGATAATGTCCAAATATCCGTAGATTTTCAGACAAAATCCGGTTATCCGTTAATGACCCTTAAAATCCGTAGATCTACGGAAAAATCCGTAAGGTTGGCAACGCTGTGATGTTCCCCACTTCTATAAGGCAATCAGGCACTCTCTTGTGTTTGATTCACTATGCGTACAACCTCATGATACAAAGAAAACAAGATATGACATTGCGCACAAGTAGGCGGAGCTTGACTACGTCACTGGTGAGAATTTTCACGCGCTGTTCATAACCTTTTTAAAGTTTGTGTGTTTTGTTAGTTTTACTAGTGTTTTCGAGTGTTTTTCTATTGTTACTATCGACTATTTTGTGGTGTTACTATTTATATAAACTATTTTTTACTATTTTACGCTTTTTTTATGGTACGCTGCACATAACCTCTAAACATTGTTGTTATATTGTAAGTATATTTAGATATATATTTTACGCGTTCTTTTACTTTGTGCTTTCGTTAAGTTGTTATTTATATAAAGCCTTTTGATTAACATTAACTATTTTGATTCCAGTTTTTGTTAGTGAAGACCAGTATAAAGCTTAAAATGGGTTGTGGAGTGGCCTTATGCCTTATATTTAATAATAATTGAATTATTTTAAATATATTAAAAGATTCTTAAATTCGTAAAAACCTTTAACCCGCAAATGCATTTAAATTCTTACTCACCTGTGCCGTCATTGCGCGGAGATTTAAATTTATCCCGCGAATGCATTTAAATTTTTACTCACCAGTGACGTCATGCGCCGAGCCGGACGAAATTGAGACCGCTATGTATCATATCTTGTTTTCTTTGTATCATGTTTTCTTTGTATCATGGTACAACCTTAATAATCTGTGCGTACAATCCTGATTGGAAGAATTTATTCAACGTACATATACGCAGTGCAGAACTAAGGTCAGATCCATTTTGTTAACAAACCACTGTTTAAGTACTGGTAAATTTAATATCAAGTATTGAAAACTTTTAATATACAATTTTTTTATTATTGTAAACCGCATGTAATTGGCTAATATATACGAGGGGTGATTAGAATCCTTGTAATACCAGAGTATATTAAATAACTTTAAATAACTGTACGAGATCTGACTTAAGGGTTTATAACAACTTTGTGTAAAATACACTTACATTTTTTTAGTAATTTCTTTTATTCTTGTCCCACAAAGAAAAAAATTACTTGGTGCCCATTTTTTTTGTAAATTCGAGTAGTAGTTACGAAGAACATTCACCCACGACCATCTGAGTTAGCGGGATTTTGTGGCTCAGGGTTCTTGTAAGAGAGATTCTGGGTTATAATTGTTGTGCTATTTGCTAAAATGAAGTCTTAACTTTATTCTTGTTTTTTCTGGGTTTAACTTCTACCGTTGGATGTTTTGATTTCCGTGATAATTTTGGGTAGTATTACCCACATCCGGGGCAAGAATTTTCTAGAACATGGTGGAAGACGGAAATGTTTTTTTAAGGCACGAGAGTCCTGGTCACTTGTGCGTTCAGCAGATAAGTACGTAGTTAATTTTGGCTTTTCTAACTTGGAAGTTGTGCTGTTGTTTTGGAATTGTTGCTTTGAATAAATCAACAGGTCCACCGTCCACGGTGGACTAGTGGTTAGTGCTTTTGACTACAAGCCGAAAGGTCGTGGGTTTGAATCCCATCGGGGGTATGGCTGTTTATTTGTGTTTGTCCTATTGTATATTAGTCTTTCGGAGGGGAATAAGCCCGCGGTCTGTTCCTACCCCTAACCCAATCAAGCCATTCAGTTGGCTTCTGGGACTTCTTAGGAAGTAAGGGTGGAACTAAAAAAACACTTTTGTATAAAAACTTTTGTATATAAACTCCCAAAACGGCTTTGTCGCAGGATTAAGCTGAACCGCTTGCCAAATTTTCCACGTGAGTTTCTATACGTTTATACGTTCATAAAGGACATCGACTCCATTAAGGAGACAACCCAGAGGAATATCCCACAAAGAAAGAAATTACTTGGTGCCCAATTTTAAAGGTAAGTGGTAGTTACAAAGAATATTCACCCACGACCATCTGAGCTAGCGGGATTTTTTGGCTCAAAGTTTTCGTTAGATATTCTGGGTTATAAATTTGTCGCCCAAACGTTTTTCGTGATTACTACTGGATTTTTGTTTGTTAATTTTTTTTTAAATATTTGATTTTAAATTCTAAAACCCAGATAGTTTTTGTCTAAGCAACGCGGGGGGTTGCTTAATTTTTTTTGAAAGGGGGTGAAATTGAAATTGACAAGCACTTATCACTTACATATCTTATACTAACTACAAACCATCGACATCGGTCACTTAAAATGAATTAAATAACTAATTATAAGTCATATTTGACTAATTGTCATAGCAAAAAAGCAGTCACTAATAATTAGTCAAATTCTACTGAATGAATAGTCAAATTAGTAGATTTAAATTTAAATTGACGCACCCAGGGTTTGAACTCGGGTCTGTTGCTTGTCAAGCGGATGTCAAACGGGTGCTCCAGTGTCACTTTTATAAAAAATAGTTTTTATTGTCTATAAATATTGTTAATAATATTTTAAAGCTAAATATCTTTTTTGTGTTGCTTTTTTGAGCTTTTTGCATCTTTGTTTGTGTATGGGCCGTTTAACCATGATGCCTGGATGCATTTAACTAACAATAATTTGTTGACCGCAAGAATTAAAAACCATTAATGAAATTAGTTACTTTTGACTCTTAGAAACAGTCAAAGATGGTGACTTATCTTAAATTAGTCAAACTTTAACTGTTTGAAAAGTAAAAAATTACCATTTAAAAGTGAAAACGACTATTTTATTAGTAAACAATGCTGATTCTAATTGAAATAGTAGAACTTTGACTATTTCATTTAGAGGATAGAAGTAGGAGTAGTAGGTCTTTTTAGGTACCTAGTTAAATCATTTCTAACAAAATGTGAATTTCCTAAACAGTTTTTTTTTACTATTTATGAGTCAAAAAATAGTTTCAAAACAGTATATTGCTGCTAAACATAAGAGTTTGGAAATGATTACTCTACACAAAAGCAGGTATTTTTAAAATACACAAGCTGTCCCCAATTTCCTCGACTTGTTTTCCCAGAACAGTTTTTTCCTATCATAATGATATTATCATACTTCTGTTTCGCGAGCGTATGGACTTTTATTAAATTAAATTATTCTTTATCTTTATAAATAATATATTTTACTTTATCTATGTAAATAAAAGTGTTTAAAATGTTTCTTCTCCAAAACGGGATTTTGACGGGACTAATTTGCTGGTAGAGGACTCTTCAGAGAGTAATCTGTAGCATTTTTTACTTTTATATATTTTTTGACTTATTTTACTTTTTTACTATTTACCAATGGAAATGGAAATATAACGGGTACGGAACGGATACAGGAACGAAAACAAAATAAATCACAGACAGACACTTCAATTTTATTTATTTGTATAAATCATCCCTTATTTTTTTGGCTACCATAGAAGTGAAGCCCCAGATATTTATCTAGTTTGTATAAAACAGTAAAATTAAAGGATAAACAGATTTATTTTCTACTATACCTAATGCATATTAATCCCTTATTTTTTAACGAAAACATTTAGCAATATTAAGCTGCATTTATTTTAAATGTTGCAAACAAACGAAATTTTAAATTGTTCATTTTATATTTATTTTTAAACCCAATTTTCTTTGTAAACATTTTATTTGATTTTAAATGTTCCAAAAAATACACCTAATGTGAAAATCATAACGAGAATAACATATGACAAAAATAAAGTTTTATAATTAATTTAATAAAATATTTAAATACGTTATTTTATTATTAATAAGGTTTTTTAGGTTTAATAAAATAAATAAAAATATATAATAAAATTAGAATTCTATAAATATTATAGTTATATTAAACATTAAAAATAAATCGATTGCTTCGGGATATTAAATAAACTCAATTTAACATTGAATTAATATAATTCCGATTGAAGTGGTAATTTAACTTGGCAATGTAGCC